TGTATATATGACTTCCCAGGTTGCTCTAAACACTGATTCATAACTGGCTGAGGAGGAAAATAGCCTGATTTCCCTATGGCAGAGATGTTATGAACAAGACTGAGAAGTACCTACCACATGCAATTTCTGATAACTATTCACCAGCAGAGCTCTGACATACTCAAGCCTTGTTAGCAGTGATGGTGGGAAATGTAGATTAGCTTATGCTCTAGGAACAAACAGAAAGTGGTTTTGGTGAGCCTACGACATTTTCCATCCAAGTTCAAATGTCTAAGAATGAGCATTAAGCTCATTTTCATCTTGATTAGAACCACATCTTCCCATTTCTGAGTCCACTTCCAGGCCCACGATCTCCAGATGTCATGCCGTTTGCACCAAAATATCTGGATGTGGATCTTTATGGTCTGCAAATCTATGAACTAAAAAAGATAAGCTAACTTCTGTAATTCCAACTTCTGTAGCCAGTACTGAATGATACAGTAGCGAGGGTTTCTTACTGTAACTAACACTGTCATGATACCTTCTCTATTTAAAAAAAGCACGTGAGACATCGGCTCCATGGATAGAGGATAAAGCAATGAAGATACCCTATTTGACAAGCTTTGTGGGATGCATGGTGTCCTGGTGAAAGCTTGTAGGAAGTTCTATCCTCTTATCTAGTCTCTGGGTTCAGATGCCTCTTAGGGTTGGGAGAAGAGAGAGATAAAGAGATAAGAGAGTTTATTAGAATCAATACCATGGTCCTTTGCATGTGCTAGCTCAGGGTTAGCTTTTTATCCTGAAAACAGTACATAATTTGATCTGTTACTAGACTTCTTCCAGGTTGTGACTGGATCCTTGTGAAGCTGCCCAGAGCTGGAAGAAACCCTAATGAGAACAGATACTATGGACCTTAACGGTATCCCATGGGCACAGGACTTTTCTTGATGTGGACCCTAGAGTTCATAGGTTTTCATTGTTGCTTTAGAAAGGATAGAGTTTCACTTTTGCAAGGAGGTGGAGCAAACAGAAACTGCTGGTTCTTCCTACCATCTTGTTTTGACCTTAAAAAAAAAACTATGCTAGAACATAGTTTCTTTCCAGTAGAATTATAGCCATAGTGGACTCCTGAGCACTTGGTGTGTATTATCTTTCTAAATGTTGATAGAAACTTTGTGGACTAGCTATCGTTTCACTTACTTTTAAAATTGATAAAAACAAGTCCTAATATAGTTGACTAAGTTGCCCAAAATTATTAGAAAGTGTCTGAGGAATGCTATTTTCCAGGTTGCCACATTCTCTCTTTCCAGGGATAACTGCATAGATGTATTGGGAAATTGGTGTGTGATGCTGTAAGAATAAAAGAGGACTTATGATACAAACCAATGTTAAAAAAGATTTTCAAAACAGGGTTAGAAGGCCATGAAGGGAACATAGCTTACTCATAGTCTGAGCTGTTGCATGGAGTAAAGTTTGGTATTAGTCTGCAAATGCCTAGGATGACCAGTAATCACATTGTCATTAGAGACTGCGGGTGTACTGTAGGAGAGTATGAGACTCTTGTTGGATGGATAGTTCTGTTTGGTTTTTAGATCCCTTTGTTTTCCTTTATTTTGTAATTATTTAAGTTTTCCTACATAAACTCCTAGTTTTCCTACATTATTTGGGTCATTGCTCTAGCCAGTCTGATGCAAATACAGTTCTTAAATAGTTTCTGAGTTTGAAATGACACATTTATTTCATTTACTCATCATCATAACCTCTGAAGTAGACAATGTATGATATTTACTCTGCTGTTGAAGAAACCAAAACCAGAGAATCTAAGTAATTGTTCAAATGACATTTGTTAAAGATGATCCAGGAAATAACTGTAGCCATTGCCCATAGTACTTCTAATGGGAAGTCCTTCAATTTTGATTTCTAAAACCATAGGCAGAAAGGAATGGCATTTTCATCATTTGAAGAACTCATTGCATTTTATTACTATTATCCTACTTTGGATGCATCAATATAGTGTGAATAATACAGCTGTAAGCTATATATAATACCAGATCAGAATGACCATGGTTACTTACTAATAACTGTTTTCTTAGTCACTGTTCTAATGGTTGAAGAGACTCCATGCCCAAAGTAAACTATTATAAGAGAAAGCATTTAATTGGGGGCTTGCTTACAGTTTCAGAGGTATAGTCCATTTTCATCGTGGTGGCATGCAGGCAGGTGCTGGAGCAGTAGCTGAGAGCTACATCCTGATTCATAGCCAGAGAGTGAGACTCTGGATTTGGCATGGGCCTTTAAAACCTCAAAGTCAACCTCTAGTGACACATCCCCTCCAACAAGGCCACACTTCATAATCCTTATAACCCTTTCAAATAATGCCATTCCCCAATGACTAAACTTTCAAATAATCGAACCTATGAGGGTCATTCTTATTCAAACCACCATAACTACGTTTTTTAATTTTATTTTTTATTAGTAATGTTAGTTCTTTGAAATTTTATATATGTATTTATTCTATTCTGATACTCTATCTCCCCACACTCTCTTATCTCCTTCCCATCTCTATCACTACTCTCTCATCCTTGCCAGTCTTTTATCCTGGGTTCATGACTTTTGGTTCTGTGACTCACTTATCTTGGGTGATCTGTGTGACTATTGGGTTGTAACTATCCAGTGGAGCCTGGTAGGGTCACATCTGAAGACAGCGACTCTTCTTTTCCCTGAATCTATCAACAGCAAATTGTTCACTAGTGAAAGATTTGACTCTGTGAAATCTTCCATCGTTTTTGCTGTTTAATAGATACATTCATGTGCAGGCCCAGGGCAAGCATCTATAGCTATCGTGAGTTCATGATTACAATGACTGTTTTTCACAGACAATGGCATTTACAGCTCTTACAGTCTTTCTACCTTCACTTCAGCAGTATTCTCTGAACCTTACAAGGGATGGGATAAATGTCTTGCTTAGGGCTGAGCCCTCACCAGCCACTTATTCTCAGTACCTATGCAGTGTGTCTCTCTGCATTCATCGCCATTACTGGAGAGGCTTCTCTGATTAAGGCTGAAAGTAGCATTCGTGGATGTGTATAATCATACAAATATTTAGAAGACAGTTTGATGCTCTGTCAATGTAAATGAACTACATTTAGTTCCCCCTTAGGGTCTATGCTCTTTTTTATTTTATTTTTTTAGGGTCTATGTTCTTCATCATAGATGTTTACCAGACATTGGTTTCCTTTTATGGAGTGAGCCTCAAGTCCAATCAAAGAGTGGTTATTTATCCTCTGTTCTAGTTCCCTTTTCTTCTGCTGTGAGAAACACCACAGAAAAAAAAACAATTTGGGGAGAAAGGTGTGCATTTTATCATACAGGTTATGGTCCATCACTGGGAGAATTCAGGACAGGTATTCAAAGCAGGAGCTTGAAGTAGAAACCAAAAGAGGGAAGAGGCTTACTGGCTGTACTTGGAAGAAACTCCCAACTCAATTACAGCCTGATTTTTCTGTCTCATGACACTTAAGAATGTGGTATCTTCAGAAATAGGGTATATTATCTAGTTCTGGTGGACAACAACAAGAGGAATGGTAGGAGCTTGTATTGTTTTGGTGGGGCCTCTGTAACATCACAACCAACAACTCATAATGGAATAACCTTCTTTTGACACTGGGGTTTTTGTGTAATAATTCAAGACTTCTAGGAGTGGGTTTTTCATGCCAAGTGGGATCTCCTGCCAAACATTTAAAACATAAATATTTTAAAATTTGAATTCAAGATATTAGCCTTACATATTTTTCAAATTTATTTATTTCATAAATATATATATAGGTGTCTTGCCATGGATGTCAGGCCCTCTAGAACTGGAGTTATATACAATTGTGATCTGCCATGTGGGTTTTTAAAAATTCACCCTTCCACCTATCTTATCATCTCCCCCATTCCCAACCTCCTGTCTGCTAAAACCTTTCTATTCCCTGTATTCCCTTCTCCACTTTCCTACTTACTGCAGTCTTGTTTCAATCTCTGCAAAACTGATATGCAGTAGAATAGGAGAGCGACTATCAGAGCCCAAAGACCAGGGCTCTAATCCTGATTCTGTAATGAACAGCCTCTGGGTCTGTTCTGAGTGCTTAGGTACCTTACAAACTAGATCTAACCCTCATTGAGTTGGTGTGGTGGTTTGAATGAGAACGTCCCCCATAGGCTCATATAGCTGAATGCTTAGTCACCAGGTAGTGGTACTATTTGAGGAAGTATGTCACTAGAGGTGGGCTTTTAGAATTTCAAAAGTCCAAGTCAAGCCTAAAGTCTTTCTATTTCTGCTTCAGGACTAAACTTCTGAAACTGTAAGTAAGCTCCAATTAAATGCTTTCTTTTACAAGAGTTGCCATGGTCATAGAACACTTATTAAGAAAAGTGGCATTAATGGGGACTTCAGGAGGTGGTTATATCGTGACAGAGTGATCCTGGGAGTGAGATTAATGCCTTTGTAAAGCATATTTGAGAGACACTGCTGCTGTTTCTATCATGTTGATGAATGTATAGAAAGAAGGCACCCTCTTTGAATCATAGACACGGCACTTGCTAGACATCAAATCTTCTAGTGTCTTGATTTGGACCTCGGGCATATAGAATTATGAGTAATAAATGTCTATTGTGTAAATTTTACCTAAGACTAACTCAATTAAGACAGTGATCTTACTGACTCACTTAACTTCATTGAGATGCAATTCTTCCACGTCCAACCTTCAAGAATGAACTCGAGAGCCTCCAGAGTCTCTGTATACTCTTGTTTCTGTGCTTTCCCCAACATTACATAAAAATGATTTCAAAAAGTGAAAGAAAGTATAATGAGAAAATATTTTTAGAAATGCAAAAACCATTATATTTAATATTTCTGAAGATTAAAATAGATAATTTTTATAGAAACACTAGAATTATATTGAAAGACTAACAATGATATCAACATATCAACATGTAGGTCATCTGATTGTATATGAAACAATCAAACTTTGACTTGTGTAAGTAGCATTTTTATTAAAAAAATAAGATTTAAATAAATTAGTCCAGCATCATAACTGTGAAATAAGTACATGATTAAAAGAGTTAACATCTTTAAAAGAATTCAACTCATGATGGTGTCTACTTCTTTGAAAGGAACAAAGATATGGGAGAACACGAATTGGCAAAAGAGAAGTGTCCTAGAGCATAGCAGTTACCCCTCATGGTTAATTATCTCTAACCATGAATTTATACAGGTGTATTTGTAGGTAAACTAAATGTATTTATTCAATTGCTGAAATTGCTTTGAAGCCTACTTTGAAATCTTTACTTGCTGCATGTGAGGCAAGCTAGCAAGCTTATCCATCAAACACCATCACTGTTGATTTCCTCCATTCCAAAAGGGAGTTTGGCAGGATCCTAGTAGCATTTGATAATTTTTAAAGTAATAAATAAACATGGACAAACATCTATAGTCTGAGCTTGGTCACTTCCTCCTGTCTGCATCTTCTTGGAACAATCCATAGATACTATCTCAGTATCCCACATGTGTCAGATTAGCATGTAGCCTGACCCTGCCAGGCCAGCTTTCCTCAGCCAGGTATAGCAGCATTTCCCTGCATGTGGCATGTATGCTCTTCTTTTCCTTAAGGAACCCACAGAGTTTTCCATTTAATTGCATACAGAGTTTGGGCCTTAAATTTGCAATCACTCTGTAGTTTCTAAAAGTCTAGCAGAAGATTGTGCTAGATTGAGTTCTTTTCCAGACTTCCACCTCCCTTCCCTCTGGACTCATGCATTCCTCTGTCTACAAGGAAGGGATAATAATAATAATAATAATAATAATAATAATAATAATAATCCTAAGATTATTGAGGAGGAAAGCTCTCACAAAGCTGTGAGTTGAGAGTGAATAAAACCTAGGTAACCAGCAGGATGGATAGAGGAATGAGTGAGGGTGGTAGAGTTCTGGCCCCAGTACTCTCAGTCCTCAGCTCCTCTTCCCTGTCAGAACAGTGGTCTGACGGGACAGTGGGATGGATGGTTCCTTAGCCAGTGGTTTGCAGCCCAGCGCAGAGCAGACACAGACATTTTGGATACTGTGGTCCTTCAGGACAAGGGTGGGCGAACTGAAATGTCCATTGTTCTTTATTCTTTGATTTCACCGAAGGAGCAGTAGCTGGGTCCCAAGCCTCGCACAGTGCAGTCAGTGCTGTCGCTGTTACACTTGCCACAGTGACACTCGGTGGCTACTGGGTATGTGTAGAGGGAGTCTGAGTGGTGAGCACAGCCAGGCAATCTGATGGTCTCATACACCAGCTCCTTGAAGGTGCATATTTTCTGGGTATTGGGTCTGGCTGGGTCCTTATACACCAGATCCTGAGGAATTCAGGAAAGGGAGGATTAGGATATACTATTTTGTAGTTTCTGTTCAGGTTAATCAAAAGGAGGCAGCAGTTTAATGCCACATGCTTTCACATTTACTCATTAAACCCCACATAACCTCATAGACCACCTATACAGTGTACTTCATTTCCTAATTCTTCTGGAATATTTCTTAATTGTTCAGAAGTCTTGCAGAAAATATAAGTAATTTCTTTCCTAATTCCCATGGCCATATCAGAACATTTGTTATTTGTCAAAATGCAAAGGAACTTTGAAATTAAATATAGAAGAATGATGAAAAGAGACACAATGGCTTAGAATTTTAGTTTCCTTTTCATACTTAATTGGAAGCTGTATTAATGACAACTTAGACTACAAATATGACAGCATAACTTTCAGAAAAGGTATATATTGCTTGCATTTATAAAATAATAAACGATTACTAATGCTTATCACGAACACTCTTGTAAGAGGTAGATCATTCTGTTGCTTGGCAGACAACTTTTCCCTTTTAAATACTGTTTATGCTACAGTGCTATTAGCTTAAAAGGACAAATACTCTACCTATAAGAATTATTTCTAAATTGTTCATTCTGGAACTTTCCAGTGGAAAATTTATTTGTGCTGAGGGGAGAAAACAGGCTGCTACTTATTTTATTTCAGTGGCATGCCACCCAATCCATAGCTCCAGAAAGGGGCAATAAACTGTCAAGTAAGAAGAATTTGACTGAACTCTTTCATCATTGAATAAAGTGTATCTCATCAGAAAGCTCTACTTTTCTCAGTGTGTGGCATGGAATTCTACATGAACAACAAGGTAAAATGGGTTTAAAAAAGAGGCAAGTGGGAACTGTCTCTTTACTTGTATTAATGCAAAGAAGCACTGTGAATTCAGGCTAGTGGCTTAATGCTTCTGTGTCTCCGTTCTTTCAAAGGCTTAAAAAGATAAATAAAGGAGGGGCATGTTTGTGAATTTAAAAAGCCTGCCAGGATTGATTGTATTCTCAGGCTACTTGTAGGCAGTATGTGCAGGCATATCTAAAGACAATTTTTATAAAGTCCTATTTGTATCTTCATGTGACATGACACATATTTGTAATTATCTCTCTACATATAAAATATGACATAGAAATACTCTATATCTAGAAATAAAGTCAGTATGTTACCAAGTTTATCTAAGGTTTCCTAAGTTCACCCAAATAAAACTCCAGTCTCAAACTGACATCCTAATTATTAACCCACTCACAACATAGATACGATTAATGAGGGAACTTGTGGCTATTGTTTGGGAAATTTGAATACTGATAAAATGGGAATTCTTCAAGCTGGCCTCATACAGCTCCCCAGCACCCCATCTTCAGCAGAGCACATGACCTACCCTGGTGTAGCAATATCCTGCGCACCAAGTGGTATTGATGCTTATGCAGAAACGGCACTCTTCTTTCTCTACTGCAATGGTGATGTTGGTCAACTCACAGCCCTGACAGCAGATGGCTCGCCAGCACCAGAGTAGGATGCAAAACTGTATCGACTTCATCCTGGGCTGGGAGGTAAGCAGCTATGTCCTGGTAGCAATAGATGAATCAAATAATTAAAATCATTGTGAAAATTGATGAGCTGAGAAACAGTTAGCCCATTCACCCTTCTTGAACATTCTGCTTGAGCAAGAGTTTTTACTTTTTTGCTTTCTGAACCAATATTCCTGTTCTTTTGGGGGGATTGTGGGTGGGATGGGTTTATGGTAGGGTAAAGTAGAAACATATAGAACAAAACTCCAATATTATGATTTAACCACAACAGCATTTACAGATAAAATTATTACTACCTTAAAGGGCTTATTCTAATCAGGTAATTGTCACCCTTATGTTCACTGTTTCAACAATTTTTTAAAGACTAGTTTGTTTGAAATGAAGAAAAGTTTATATAACAAAATTATCTCTTCATTTTTTAACACTATTTAAGCATCTGTTCCTGTTTGCCCACAACTATTGACAATAAGTCTATTTCAGAAGCCAGGCAAACTGTTCTATAAGTAGGATTCTTGATGATAGTGCCAAGTTAACAAGAATAAATTTCTATACAGTGGTGACAGAGAATAGTCATTTCTTCTCCAAACTCTGAAAGTCTGCAATTTCCAAAGTAGCTGTCCTTTTGCACCAAGTGCTGAGACTCACCTCTGTAGTCAGCTGTCTTTTCTGGGGAAAGCTGAATATCGAGTCAAGTCACACATCTCCTTTTATACAAAATTAACACCCTGTGGATTTACTGGGTGTTAACATAACCAATACTAACACAAAGCCTGCTGTTAAGTGAATCAGTGTTTAGACGGACAGGGAGATCAAGCCCTGCCAATGTAGTCTAAACGCCATAGACCAGAAAATGATATCAGTGATGATGATTTCTGTACAGATTGAATTTGATATGGTAGCACGCCCACTCCTTTACCTTGCTAAATTAAATGTGACTCTGAAGTCTAGACTGTTCTTTCTGGTCTTTAACTTGGAGAACTCAGAATCCTTTCCAAGCATTGCTTTGGCTCCATTTAGAAGTTACACCAAAATATGTCTAATCAACTGTTCCAAGAACAGACTGAACTGTAAAGATGGGATGACTAAACATGTAAGTTTGGGGAAAACCCAAGGTGTTCTGCATAGACATATTGACCTTGAGAGGTCTATAATACAGTTATATCCCCTGGTGAATCTGGAGTTTAGAGAAATATGTTGACTGGAGATGTAAATTTGGAAGTTGATGGCATGGTTACCATGGATGAGGTTACCAAGGGAATGGATTTAATGAGAAAAGAAGAGTTGAAGCTGGTTAAACTTCAATAGTAAAATGTTAAGGCTACAATGAGTCTTCTTCCTCCTCCTCCTCTTTGTTTCCTTCTTCCTCCTTTTCTTCTATCCAAATGAGGTCCAGAAGGGTTATCGAGGAAGTTATGAACTGAGGAAAATATGATGTTCTAGAATCTATCAATGTATCAAGGTAGAGGAAGTGACAAGTAAGCCAAATGCTGCATAGGAGTAGGGCTAAGAATTATACAACGTATTTCACAATATAAAGATCAAATCCTTAGCTAGAGAAGTTGAGTGGATGAAAAATATATCCTGGTATTTGTTTAAATGGTTGGGAAGAGATGACATGTAGTGAACATAGACAATTATTTCAAGAATTTTGTTACAAGTATCAGCAAGAAAACTGGGTAATTGGGACAGCATAGAAGTAGAGTAAACATATTTTATTTTATTTTTACTTTTCTGGGGGTTAAATGCCTGTTCATATGGAGATGGGAATGTTTATACATAGTGAAATCCAGTAAGCTGGAGAGATTTTTGAATGTCCCTAGAGACAAGAGAACAGATGGTTTTAGAGCACATATAGAGGTTCTGGCTTTAGGCAGGAACATATGGAGCTCAACCCCAACCAAGCAGGAAAGCAGAACTCAATGGTGAATGAACAGGTGTAGTAGGTGGGCAAGCATGGAGGGAGGGCAGGTGTGGTAGCTGAACAGGTGTGGTAGGTAGACAGGTGTGATGAGAGGGCAGGTGTGGTAGATGAGCAGGTGTGGTAGGTAGACAGGTGTGATGAGAGGGCAGGTGTGGTAGCTGGGCAGGTGTGGTAGGTATAGACAGGTGTGATGAGAGGGCAGGTGTGGTAGGTATAGACAGGTGTGATGAGAGGGCAGGTGTGGTAGGTATAGACAGATGTGATGAGAGGGCAGGTGTGGTAGATGAGCAGGTGTGGTAGGTAGACAGGTGTGATGAGAGGGCAGGTGTGGTAGCTGGGCAGGTGTGGTAGGTATAGACAGGTGTGATGAGAGGGCAGGTGTGGTAGCTGGGCACTGTGGAGGGAGGGCAGGTGTTGTAGTAAGGCAAATGTGGATGGAAGGGCTGGTGTGCTAGATGGGCAGGTGTGGCAGGTGGGCAGGTGTGGTAGGAAGGCATGTGTAATAGGTGTAGATACTTATAAACATGAGAACATAGGTCAGAAATCATAACCGTAATTTGGCAGTCAGGACAGGTGCTGAGGATTGTGGAAGTCTTTCTAAAGGAGTCTTAAATGGCATTGCTCTTAGGAATCACTTAGATTCTGGAGTGAACTCTTTACATACACTTAGTCTACATTCACAAAATGTATTTAGGTAGCCATATATCAACTTCTGTTTTTCAATAATTCATGTATATATAGTTTTAGTAATTTCTGAAATATATGCTTAAAATATTAGCAACTTCTTTACATTAGTGCCCACTACTCCCTCAGCACATAAACTTTAAATATGTGTTCATATATAAACTTGACAGCAACCTTTTGAAGGAGTTATTATCCCCTTTGAAAGATATGAAAAATGAAACAAGCAAGGCTATACTGGGGTGAAGGTGATGTCCACACACAGCTCTCTCTGCCTTCATATCCAGAGTGCTGCTCACTGAGTCATGCAGAGTTGGGGTGGCGTACAGCTCTCACCACTCACTTTGTTTTTGGAGAGGGCTTAAGACAGAGGCTCTCAAATAGCAGTGACTTTAGGAGAAATAGCATTTATTTTAAATGAAAAAAATTGAAGAAGCCATTCTAATTGTCAACATTTTAATTTGCATTTACATTTAGGTCAGAGTTCTAAAATAACCCCATCCTTGTCATTTGTTTAAGAAGCTCCAGATCTGTCTCAGTTGCATGCCTCTTATATCTTACTTTATCTCTTATATCATAATTGATGTAAATAGTTCTCTGGGTACTATTAAACCTTCTTTTATAAAATCTAAAAAAAATAAAAAATAAAGACCATTGTGTGCTGTGCAGGACTTCCTTAGCTTGTGGTTGGCTGTCCAGTGCATTCCCTTTTCTTGTTTTGTTCTGTTGTTTGGGGATGAAAGGCATGTGCAAGGAGCACTTCTTCTCACAGTGCTGTGTGAATAGGCTTTTACTTTTACAAGGGGAGTGGTTGGCAAAAAGAAGAGAAGTGTGAGCTTTGCTTTCCCTGTGTTCTGTTTTCGAGTATATGACTGTATCTGCTGGTGTGACTGTGTTCTCCCTGTATCCACAGGTTGCAATGGACAACTCTCAGTGGCAGGCTCCAGCTCTTCTGAGGAAACCCCAGATGTTCTTTGGGCTTCCCCTGAGGTTCTCTCCTTCTGGACTCTGGCAGTTCCCTCAGCTTTCTTCTGTCCCAAGAGCAGGGAGTGGTGCTTTGGATCAACTCATTTTCCTATGTAGCTTCTCAGTAATTCCTTGGGTCTTCTGTGTTTTATCTTGTGGGTTTTCTGCTGTCTTGACAGGTTGCTGGTTGATACAGCTACTGTTGTCTATCAGTCCTCCAGAAACAAAATGTACTTGGGGCTAAGCATACAAACATTAGCTCACTGTCTACTGAAACACTGAACAACATTCAGGGAAAGCCACTACATCACTCTTTATTGGATTAAGCCTTATCCACACTTTGCAGCCCCCAGTGTTTACTCTCAAAGGTGACGTAGATCCTACTCTCCTTTATATACACAAAAGACTTCTGAGAATCCAGAGTCTGTATTAACCAACTTCTCCAACTCTTCAGATGTCAGAGTTCCCATATACATGTGCTCCATGATACATCTCCTTCTTTGATTTGCAAAGGAGTTTTTCAAGTAATTCATTCATGCTTGAGTCTAAAGCAGGGAGTTATCTGAGCTGAAATCCCGAGAAGTTATTTGTTCTCCACAGTGGGGCTTCTCCCTCACATCCTCCCCACTTTCATTTGTTCACAGGATGTTTTGAAATTTAAATTTTAAATGTTTAGCATATTGTGGTTTTGGTTTTATTTATTCTTGAAATTATTTTAATTTTTAAAATTTACTTCCTTCATTTAGGCCACAAAGTAACAAATAACCTATGTGACATAATATCCGTGAAGAAACTGCTTAATTTTATTGTTTTAACCCCACTGGATGATCCAGCAACAGCACAGATCTTTGCTGCCCGATTATAGCAAACACCAATTACATGTAGTTATTTTGGATTTGAAATTTTCTTAATAATTAAAGTGCTCTCATAGGTCTAAAATAGATGCTGGATCTTAAAAATAATGAAAAAAGACTCTAAACGCTCCCAGTAATGATTTTGTCTCTATTCTGTTAGAAATGGCATTTATTTAGATATATGAACCTAACTAAACTATGAGTTGGAAATCTTATGTATTCTATTTTAACTTTCATCTTGCTTTCAAATGTGGTAATTGGAAATAATTGAATTCTACAATGGTTCAAATTTGATTTCTCTTGGATAATTCTAGCATATGACTTGGTGGCTAATGAGTAAGTTTGCAGAGGTTGCTAGATGTGCTTGCTGGTGTAAAGCCTGGCCCATGTGCATTGTACATTGCCAGGCTAAGTCAACTGATAAAGGCACAGCGAGTAAGAAAATGAAAAGCCCATTGTTGGTCAATGTTTGTCAATATAAAGACAAAGTATGTGGTGTTTTTCTCAGAAGAGGTTAGGAGAGTCAGCCTTTGTACTAAACTTCTTTTTCTTCTCCACAGGGGCTGCCAGCTGGGGATTTAATTTATTTCATCAGAGGGAACAATAACACAGTAGGGTGAAACAAAATGCTTATCTCTGTTGTAGTTTCTCTCTTCAGAGCAAACTGACAAAGAATTCTCCCAATAGAGTGCCTTTAAAAGCAGTAATAGCACTCTGAATATTCCACGATGGTATTCCTGTAAGAAGTCAGTCTGTTTGCTATCAGTCACCTGATGATGCACGAAGCTAAAAATATTTCCTAGGCTTACAGCAATTAGAACATGCATAGAGTAAGCATTCCGAAACTACATATGGATTTCATTTTCATTTAGAAAGTAAAGAGCAAGGTACACAGAATGCTTTGTGTCTTCAAGTAACTAACAATATATTGATGATTGATGTGGAATATGCTGGAAGAGTAGCCATATATTGACAGTTTTTCTATGTGCATAATGCAAGTGCCCAGTAGCTGTTTTATATCTTTTTGCTTTTGGAAGTAGTATCTTATTTATATGCATGCACACACTTATAGGACACCGGGATAATAGTTTATCATGCTTCCACACCTTTGCTATCAGGAATGTCCTTTGCAGAAGGCATTATAGTCTTCAGTTTACAAGGTACAAGTGTTTGAGCCATCACTGTGCTAAGGCTTCATGCATTATACCACTGAATGTTTTTGGTTACCTTAGGAATTAGGCATTGTCTCAAAAGAGATGA